AGAGAGAGAGAGAGATCATTTCCGTGCAATTACGAATAGCAAAAGAGATTGATAATTTCTGTGAAATTACTTATCAAGAGACAGAGAGAAGCCTTGAATCAAATCAGAGCAAGCCAAAAAACTGAAAGATTTGCAAAACAGGTGTTTTTGAGAATTAGAAGAACGCAAACTCGAAATCATGTGATTCGAATGCGAGATAAATGGGGTTAATACCTCTGCTGAAATGGAAGCTCTCAAATAATTGAACAAAGGATTCGGAGATGAGCAGCTGCAATTTTGAAGGTGCTCTCTGTCTCTCTCTCTCTCCTCTCTCTCTCTGGACGTTCTCTGTCTAGGGATTCCACAAATAAAAGAGTTCTCCCTTTCTCTCTCTACCCACCTAACAAAAACAATTCCCAACTTGCTGAATGTCTCCATTTTTATATGGAAAAGTTCCTATTGAGTTTCCGCTATAAAATTCGAAATAAACCTTGTTTCTACAATAAATATCCAAAATGGTCCGTTGCGGTGGACTTGTGTGCCCTCAATATTTTAAAGGATGAGGTTTCTATAAGGCCTAGGTTTTATGAAAACAAAATAAAACCCCATCTTAAATCCCATGATGGCTCCAAAATCAATTTTTAAAATCGATGATGAAAGTTGAAGCTCAAAAATTAATATAAATATTTTGATATATAAATACTTATTTTTAGGGCAAAATGGGATCATTTATTACAATAACCATATTTTTAGAGCTTGAATTTTTTTTTTTTTTCACATCTATAATGTTCAAGTCAATATGATTGATGTGAAAGTTTTGTAATACTTGAATTGTAATTTTTTATGCGTTATAAAGTGAGGCTTTACTTATTTTGATAGGGATACAGCCTTATCAAACTAATTTCGTATTTTAAATAATGAAAATGCCATTCGGAGGTGCGGTTTGAATAGAGGCATGCGCTCTAAACAATCAAATTCGAACCTACCTTAAAATAGCATCTAGAAATGTGGTTTCAATACTAGAAATATTTGTAATAGACTTAAAATATATTTTTATTTTTATTTTTAAAGATTAATATTTCAAAAATAATGTAGATCGATATATCTATAAAAACTTGAAAATCATGAAAATTGACAGTCCAAAAATACATAACAAAATACAATATTTTCAAAACTTAAAATCCATTTTTTTCTTATGTTCATCCATCTTGATATCGAGATGATCAATTTGAAGATATTTGGGCATCAAAACAACCCCTTCTAGTGAATTTTTTTATTTAGACTCTAATTTGATTGTTTAAAGCCTAGACTCTATATAAACTTTTACCTCTATAAAATATCTTAGTCTTTCTAGATGTCCAAATCATCGCAAGAGAGAAGACAAAGACCTTGTGATACGTCAAAAAAAAAAAAGACACCCAAATGAACGGTGCAATTAAACTCTTCAAAAACATATTTTTAAAATTAAAAATTTTTATTTTGTTCTTTTATATTTAATAACCACGGCTTAGGTCGTGAATCTCTAAAAACATTTAGATTGAAAACCCATATTATCTTTAACATGGATTTTAGAGGGGAGCCGCACATGTACATGTGAGAGTCTATTCATAGAAATATGTCGGAGAGAGAAACGCTACAAGATCTTACAAAACTCATTCAGGGATAAATTATTGCCGCAAAGTTGTGAGTTTTGAGTTGTTACTCGGTTCATAGACTGCACAAAAGGGTGGAGTTGGAAAATATTCAAGGAAAAGTTTACATGTCCCTAAACAATTAAATTAAGGCGCATAAAAAAAAAAAATTTAGAAGAGGTTGTTTCGATGCCCCAAAAACCTTCAAATCGATTATCTTGACTTCAAGATGTGTGGACATGATAAAAAACGGATTTCAAGTCTTGAAAATAGTGTATATTGGAATGTATTTTTAGACCGTCAATAATCAAAAAAATTTAAGTGTTCATAGATCTACTTGATCTATACTGTTTTGAAAAAGCTTTCAATGTTCTCCTTACAACATAGAAGTTCTATCCCCCTCTACATCTATACTATTTTGGAAAAGCTTTTTATGTTCTCCTTACAACATAGAAGTTCTATCCCCTTTTATCCGACCGTCCAATTTTTAATGGAGGGCTAATATTACCCTAATCACAATGTCACGTCTATAAACTATTTTATTTTTATTTATTTTTATAAACTATTTTGACAACACACTAACAAAAAATATAAAAATATATATATTTCAATAAAATAAAATAACCAAAATACCCCAAAAGTTTCAAGGGGTATTTTAGTCATTATTTTTTATCTAAAATTTATTTTTAATAATTTTTATAGGTGTGCCCCAATGAGAAGATGACATGTACCAAATTTCATATTCAGAAAAATTGTATTAAAAAACTAAAAATAAAATACTTTGAGATATCGGATCTAAGATCAAATGGTGAGTGGCTCTTTCGATAAAAAATGGACGGCTGGATGGTAAGGGGAGGATAGTACTTCTATTTTGTAAGGGGAACATATAAAGCTTTCCCTATTATTTTTCGAAGATTTAAATTTTATAATTAGAGATGAAAATAAATTTTCAAGTCCTCATAATTATAATTATTTCAAGTATTAAAACAACATCTTTCGACACTATTTTAAGGTGCGCCTTACTTTGATGGTTTAGGGCCTCAGTCTTATATATACCACACCCTTTGCTAGTATGTAAAAAGCGTGTCAAATCAAATAATATGCAATATTGTTCAAAGATGTAAATCGGTTAATCCAACCGGTCATTTGCGAATTTTGAGCTTGATTGATCCGCTTGGGTAATAGGATTCACCAATTAGAATTAAAAATTAAACAAATATGCCATCTTGGTAGTTTAAAAAGTTTAAAGAAAGTTTTTTATTCTAAAATCGTTTTTTTAAAAGGGAAAAGTTTTTATAGAGCCGAGGCTCTAAACAATCAAATAAGATCTTATCTCAAAATTTTCACTAGAAGAGATTGTTTTGATGCCCAAATATCTTCAAATTCATCATCTCGACATCAAGATGCATGGACATGAGAAAAAAATGAATTTGAAGTTTTGAAAATAGTGTATTTTGTAACGTATTTTTGGACCGTCAATTTTCAAGATTTTCAAGTTTTTATAGATCGGTCAATCTATACTATTTTTGAAGTTTTAAACTTTATAAATAAAAATGAAAATACATTTTAAGGCTATCACAAAGACTTTCAATATTAAAAACAACATTTCTCAATACTATTTGAAGGTAGGCTCTAATTTGATTGTTTAGAACCTAGGCTTTATACAAACCGCACCTTTTTTTTAAAATAGAAGAGCATTTATTCTCGCCGTATGTTGAATTACGATAAAGGTTTGCAAGCCAACGAAATGAATTTACGGTCTAAAATAAGGACATCATCCCACTCATTGGACATGGATGAGTAGAGAGACTACTATGCCACAATGTCACCATCCGAGTTGACATTGACATCCACTCAAATCAGTATCCATCATTATATTAAGGAAAAACAACCACTCTATATTAAGGAAAAAGTTTATATAAGGATGCTACTTTATAATATGGAATGCCTCTAAAAAATTCATCGTAAAAGGTAGTTTTAATGTTGAAAAACCCTTTTATTGATGTCCAGATATATGACTATGAAAAATAAAAAAAAATTAAGTCTCATAAATAGTACATTGTACAACATATTATCTATACCGTCTATTTTCAAGATTTTCATATGTTTATAGATCTACTTGATTTTAACCATTTTTTAAATTTAAAATTTTATAATTAGATATAAAAATAGATTTTGAGATAATTGTGAGAACATTTTACATCAAAATTATGTACCATGATAAAATTTGAAGGTGCACGATACCTCTACACCTACGGATGCATCCATATGCAAACTGCACCCTTAAATAATTACATTAAGAAAGTATACGGTGAGCCTATTTATCTTTTGTACAAGTTGGTCTAAAAAAATCTTGATCGCTGAATGTGACAAAGCTTAAAGCTCAAAGGAAATTTTTTCGAACCTTGTGACACACCCAAGCTATCAAATTTCATATCTGATAGTTATGTGCAATTGTGACCTCCTTGTACCATAGATAAATGATTCTATTGTATTTAATTTCATTAAATTAATACTAAAAGTGTGGGCATGAAGGTACATCCTTAGTGTGAGGGACCAAGTAGACCATATTCCCTTTATGTTTGACTTACAATACGAAGGGTGGTGGGGAAATGTTACACCTCCTCATGAGGGGTCACACCTCTTCATGAGGGGGTTACACCTCTTCATGAGAGAGCAATTTCTCTCATTATAAAAAGGGGAGGGGTGGAGGTCTATATACACTACAACTCACACAAGAAAGATGTACGAGCTCATCTTGAGAGATAAAAAAAAAAGAGTACAATCCCCCTCTTATTTGAGATCTAAATAGAGATTCGGCCCTGAATGATAAAGAGTTGTGCATGAATTTGAGTTTGGACTGCTCCCATCGCATCCGTTGGAGTATTCGTGAGTTTCCACTTCGCTCGAGATTTACGGTATGGAATTGATTTTGGCAACTCTAGTAGTTATTGAACGTGCCTACGTGAGTTGGTCATTTCTCTCCACATTTATTCATCAAAATTATTGTGCGAGCACTCAGGTATGATACTCGATTTTCGATTATTTTGTTTTGCTTCCGCTTCGGCCATTGAACCGTATTTTTTTCAGAGCCATCGTGAAGCCGGGTTCCCGATTGTGCGCGCATAACCATTCTCGATTTACTTGTGAAGGCTTGGCTGTGGTTGTCCTATGATGTTGTAAAGTACACATAATGGTTATATTAAAACCATAAGCATGTGCATTATGCAATCTTCATAATCGTATTGGCCTTATGCATGGTTTATGCAAGTTGATGCATCTTAGACCATGAGGATCATGGCTAACTAATCTCGGTAGGTCTCATATGCTAAGCCATGCATGGTTAGCTTTACTTTTTTTTTGGTATGTCAAGGGCATTTTTCTTTTAAGTGGGAGGGCATCTAGAAAGGTGTACCGTTTGCAAATTGTGAGGTATTTGAGATACTAGATCCAAGAAAGAAACTTGATATTGATTACAAGCAAGAGTTCAATGTGGCCACGCGAAATTTTCATATCAAGACTTTTAAAGGTCAAGTTTTTTTTCAAGTAGTTAGACAATTAGCAAGCGTAAAAATGATAATCTAAGTGCCATCATGTATCAAACAAACCATGTGACATCTATATCAATTAATACAATTTTGTTGTTTTGACTTAAAATGGCTTCTAAAAACGTGATTGCGAATCTCACTAAAGGTGAGAAGTTGAATGGGAACAATTTTCCTATGTGGCATAGGAAAATGTAATACCTTCTAAATGAGCAATGTACATTTAAACACCTAACTACCATTAAACAAAAACCTGAACAAGGTATCGCTGAAGAACTTGTCCGTGAATATGAGGCATGGGACAATGCTGACAGTAGCACTCGTTTTACTTTGCTAAGTGTTATAGTTTATGACCTCATTCGTGAATTCGAGGGATTCACCACAACAAAGGCCATGTGGGATGCGTTTCAACAGTGGGATGCGTTTTAGCAGAAGTATGCTGGCACTTCCGCTGCTTAGTTACGAGCCTTATCTATGGCTTTTGAGACATACAAAATGCCTCCAAATGTGTCGATGACGGACCATGTTAAAAAAATGTCTCAAATGATATATGACCTAGAGGCAAGTGGAAACAAACTCAATCACGAGCAACAGATGCTCGAATTGCTTAGGTCTCTTCCATAATCTTGGGAAAACATAAAATTATTGATGCTGCATAATGAAGATGTAACAACTTTTTCTCAATTTTCTCATCACCTTGAGATGGAGGCTGAGTTCTACTCATATTTTGGAGCTGGAACCGCTCTAATTGTCCAATTCAGCAGGCCTCAAGGCCGTAAACCTCGAGGTAAGTTTAGAAATGAGGCACCTCAAAGGAAGAAGCAACCTAAGAAAGAGGCTAAGGAAAAGAAAATGGCTAGGCATAGATGCGGGAGACGCATAAAGGACCACTATTGCTAGAATTGCGAGAAAAAGGGCAACTATGCATGTGAATGTCCCGAACTTAGAAAGGAGCGACAAGGCATATTGCAAGGGATTGAGTTCGTTGAGCTCCAAACTTTGCTGATTGGAAGTCATAAGATCTTCATGGGGAATTGCGCATCAGAGGATATGCCAGGGGTTGGAAATTACCAACTCCGATTCCAAAGTGAACGGATCCTTCTTATCCTTGACGTCCTTGATGCTCTCGGAATGAGAAAAAGTTTGCTTTCAGTTCTATGTCTAGTCAGATATGGTTGCTTAATGAGTTTCATGTTTAATTATGTTACCTTGATATTTCCACATGGTTTTCACTGTTATGGCCAAATTTTTAATGACTTATTTATTTTGGATAATAATGATATTAATTTTTTCCTTCCTTTTACCTATAGGACATCATCATCCTTTTCCACCTCTTCTATTACATAACTCCATAATGTGGCATGTTAGTCTTGCTCATATAGGAAAAGATAGGATGATCTGGTTAGCCAAAGAATGATTGTTGCCTTTATCCAAAATAGACATACCTATCTGTGAATCATGTATAGCTAGAAAATCAATTAGAAAGTCATTTTCTAAAGCAAAAAGAGCAATCCATCTTCTAGACATAATACATTCTGATATTTTTGGTCTATTTAATGAGATGGCCCGTGACGGTTCCCATTATTTTATCACATTTATCGATGATTATTCTCGTTATGGATATGTATACTTAATCTCGCATAAATCCAAGCAATAGATTGTTTTTGTCGTTTTATGCTAGAGGTTGAAAATCAGTTGAACAAAAGAATTAAGGTTCTTCGTATTAATCGAGGGCGAAAATACTTATCTGATCAATTTAAGAAGCTTTGTGAGAATAAGGGAATCCGAAGACAAGAGACGATGTCCTACACTCCGAAACAAAATGATGTTGCAGAAACAAAGAATCGTACTCTGTTGGACATGATGAGGTCTATGATGGCTCACTCCAACCTCCTAATATCGTTTTGGGGAGATGAACTCCTCACTGCGATATATGTCTTAAACAAAGTGCCATCAAAATCCATTCCCAATACCCCTTATGAGTTATGGATAGGTAGAAAATCAGATCTTTCACATGTACGTCCTTACGGGTCAGCTGCATAAGTTCACATCCCTTCTCAATTGATAGGGAAATTTGACAGGTGCTTTTTCGAATGCATTTTTATCAGATATTCTGAGCACTCGAAAGGATATGTATTCTATCATGATGGTGGTGGGATCAAAGTAATAGAATATCATGACATAGATTTTATAGAGACAAAATTCCTTAACAGGAAGCGATCTCATATGTCTGAAGAGCCTGAATCTCATACAGATGTTGAGATAGTTCCTTCACTTGAGGGTAATAGTGGGAGTCTTCTCATGATTGTCAAAGATAGTGGGAGAGAGCCACTGGTTAAGAATGAGCATATGACCCATATTGAGTCACCGACCATGCTAGACACACCTATTAAGAGTGGATCGTGGGTTGAACTTTGAAAAAGTCAACGTGAAAAAGTTCCTCGTAGACACTTCAAAGTAGAGGGTCTCACGTGCATTTCACTTGATGCTAGTGAGCCTAGCTCATTCCAATAGGCCTTGAATTCTCCTGCTGTGGACCAATAGATGTCTGCTATGAAAGATGAGCTTAGTTCTATAGAGCAAAATCAACTCTGGGAACTTGTGGATCTACCGCCTACGGGAATATCAATTGGAAACAAGTGGGTCTTGAAAATCAAGAGGAAAGTAAATAGAACTATAGATAAGTATAATCTCATTTAGTGGAGAAAGGGTTCACCCAAGTTGAGGGAGTGGACTATAATGAGACATTCTCCCCGGTGGTGAGAATGACCTCGATTCGCCTAATCCTAGCAATCGTCACACATATGGACCTGGGACTCTTCCAAATGGATGTAAAGACTGCTTTTTTAAATGGTGACTTGATGGAAAAAATCTATATGGAGCAACCTAAAGGTTTTGTAGCCCCTGGTCTTGAGCGCAAAGTGTGCAAGCTCAAGAAGTCCATATATGATCTCAAACAGTCATCTAGACAATGGTATATTAAATTTAACTTATGGTTTTGAAATGCTCCATTGTGTATACATTAAGAAGTATCAAAAAGACATCCAGATATTGTCTTTATATGTTAAAGATATTTTATTAGCTGAGATTAATCTGGAGCAACTTGTTGCTACGAAGGAGTGGTTGTCCTTCAAATTTGAGATGAAGGACATGAGTGAGGCGAGTTACAGACTCGGTGTTAAGATACATCGAAATCGCTCTCAAAGGTTTCTTCCTATATCATAACAAACATATATCCCAAGGACTCTTGAGCGATTCCGTATGTAAGACTTGAAACCCATAAATACTCCAGTTGAGAAATGGCATACTATAAGTTTTGACATGTGTCCGCAGACAGAAGCTGAGAGGAGCAAAATGTCACGTGTTCCATATGCAAGTACAGTTGGTAGTTTGATATACGCGATGCTTGGCACGTGTCCAGATATTGCCTATGCAATGGGTATTGTTAGCCAAAACTAGTAACTCAGGACAAGGACATTAGTAAGTAGTAAAGAGGATTTTTCGATACCTACGAGGAACCTCAAGTCAGATGTTATGTTTTCAAGGAACCGATTTGCGGTTATAAGGATACAGTAATGCTGATTGAGCACCAGATCTAGATGAGCGTAAATCGACTTCAGGTTATATCTTCTTGCTAGGAGGCGGTGCAGCCTCATGGTGTAGCATGAAGCAGTCTTGTGTCACTCTCTCCCTTATGGAGTATGAATACATTGCTTGTGCTTGAGCAGTACAAGAAGTCGTATGGTTGAGAAGATTCCTAAAGAACTTAGGTGTCATAGCAACTAGTAATGAGCATGTCACTGTATTTTGTGATAATACAACAATACTTGCTTTTGTAAAAGATTCAAATACCACGGAAAGTCAAAACATATTGATGTTAGATATCATTATATTTGAGATATTATTGCGCATGCACATGTGGCACTTACTCATATTCCTACGACTAAAATGGTGGCAGATTCTATGACTAAGGCAATTGTTAGGACCGCACATCAGATTTATGTAAGAACTATGTGACTCAGGACCCTATAAGTTTATGTTACACTTGGTACCTTGTTATAGTTGAATATGGATGTTATTTTATGGATGGTTTGTGCGCTTTAATACACACGGGAGCACAATAGTGCGAGATTATTATTTAATTTGTCGGCAGGTCAAAGCTCACTACTCGCATGAGCTATCCTTAATTTTTGGGATATTGGAGGATGATATACATGTGGTGTATTTATAGCATCAACCAAGGATTTAAGATGAGATTCAATAAGGGAATTGATATGATCAGTTCAAATTGACATCTCGAAGATCATGTAGCATGTAAGTAGTCAGGGATGAATATCAAGGATGTTCAAGTTGATACATGAATGTAACTGTGGGGCGCTGAGTGGCGATCAGTTGCATGGATGTGAAAAGACTATAACCTGCATGGTGTTGATTCCGACAAACATTTGATGTGATCCACCATGACGTGTGATTCATACCACATGTGTTATATAAGTGACCAAAACTTCTACTCGTGTGAAAAAGAAGATCATATTCCTTTTATGCCACTGTGCGAGGCTAATAAGTTGGTGATCTGTGATGCCCTTATGGACCTTAGACTGCATTAGGAAACTTTACTTTGATCATTCACTTTAGCATGTACTCCTTAAGGTCAACTATGAGACTTGTTTGGGACATTGCTGAGATAATGGTCGGGTTCAGAGTAAAATAATATATGTTGTAAGGGAAGACCATTTGATATCACACTCTGTTTTGGTACCATAAGAAAACAATGCACATTACGTGCACATTGACAGTGATTGTGTACGAATGGGCTAAGTAATCTTTTAAGCTGGGCTTATGAGGGATTAGTTGAGAACTTAGCCCAGTGTGGTCAAATTGGGTATAGGGCAAGTGGAGTAACTTTTTTTTTTTTTTACAGGTATTAGAGAGATGAAGTGTTCTATACCAGTTGGTTGGAAACTTTGTATGGTTCTCTTTAACAAAATGTTCGCTCAAGTAGGTCGCACACCGTATTTTTTCATTTGTATTAAGAATACTCATGATGCAATAATGAGCGATAACTCTTGTTTGAGCATGTAGCCCTCCCACATAGGGGATGAGTGGGAGATGTAGATATGAGGGTGCATCCCTAGTATGAGGGAATACCCAAGTGGACCACACTCCCTTCATGTTTGACTTACAACATGAATGGAGGTGGGGAAATGTTACACCTTTTCATGAGGGGGTTACACCTCTTCATGAGGGGGTTACACCTCTTCATGAGAGGGCACTTTCTCTCATTATAAAAGGGTGAAGGGTGGAGGTCTATATACACTACAACTCACACAAGAAAGATGTGAGAGCTCATCTTGAGAGATAGAGAAAAAGTGTGAGAGAGAGTACAATCCCCCTCCCATTTGAGATCTAATTAGCGATCCGGCTCTGAGTGATAAAGAGTTGTGCGTGAGAGTCAAGTTTGGACTGTGCCTATCGCATCTGTTTGAGTGTTCGTGAGTTTTCACCTCGCTCGGGATTTGCGGTGTAGAATTGATTTCGGCAACTCTAGCAGTTGTCGAACGTGCCTACGTGAGTTTACCATTCCTTTCTACATTTGTTCACCAAAATTGTTGTGCGAACACTCAGGTATGATACCCGATTTTCGTTTATTTTATTTTGCTTCCCGTTTCGGCCGTTGGACCGTATTTTTTCCAACAAAAAGATTATAGATTTGTCTCATTGTGGTGTGATCCACGATTTTGGCCACTTTAGCTTCACTAAATACCAAGATCTTAAAAATTGGTGATTTAGATTAAAACCAGTCGATTTGGATTAGGAATCGGTCCGGTCGATGCAGATCCTTCTAAATATCGAGAATCAGTTGGTTTACCCCATAAATTGGTTGGTCCTGTTAAGTTATCTAATATAAATGGGCGATTATGTGAGATAATTGGTCCCACTTTATTTTGTAATATTTTTTATTTTTTATTTTTATTTCTAAATTCTTATTTTTTTATCCGCTTTCACTAGGCCTAATCGCAAGGGCGATTCAGGTCATTGAGCCGTATTTTCAAAACCTTGTTGTGTACCATGACTAGCACTAAAAGTGCATGACTGTTGGAAAAATAAATGGTTTTAGGGGTTTATTTGTGGGATTTTACAAATAACAGAAGTCGAAAAATGGACATAGACAAACAATTTGTGGAATAATTCTCATACTAGTGTGTTTATTGGGCAAATGATCCAAATTCAGAACTTCGACAGAGAAATACATTTTGCAATAACAGATACACTTGAGACCTTACATCTCTCAAAAGACAACAGACACATGAATCGGCCCCCTCACAAAAAACTCTTCCATGCATCACGTGGCTAGGAATGACTTTGGAATAATTTATCTCGTGATGAAAGGAATATGTTGTTTCTTGCTAAAGCTTACACCGCAGGTGCGTCCTGCAAGGTTCATAACATTTATTTACATAGGTCCAACAAAATTGCATGTAGACATGGACACGTGTGTCTACAAATAAGGGGGTCCTTTGGGTATTTTAGTTAGGACAAGGTTTTGGTGTGTCAGCTGACTCACCTATTACCGTGTGGTCCCTTGTCTATCTACTAAAAGATAGATGTCAAAACATATTACATCTATTAAAAGTTAAAATGGATGGATAATATAATAATTCAAAAATTAATATTTATATTTTTTTCAAAAAGAAAATTTTCAAATTTAGATCATTGTCATGGTTGAGGTTATTGAACTCTAAAATTTTGGATAGAAAATACATCTTCGAGACATAATTTGTAGAGAGACCACACAAAAATAGTGTCAGTAGGCCTACTCACAAAACACTTTTTCAAAAAGAAAAGGATGTGATATGTAGAAATACAGACCCCTTAATTAATTTATTTTTGAAATTGATTTTCTGACTTGATTTTTTAGGATAGGTAATCTATAACATGGAAATGAACAAATAAATAAATTTAAAAACTAAAAATAATAATTCTAACATTTGGACAGTTATTTTCAATTGTTTTTAGATGGACCACATATTTGCATCCATCGGTTTAGATGGACCACATATTTGCATCCATCTTTAAGATGGATGCTAGACACTTATGGGCTGCATGTATAAAAATGCGGTCCAACTCGCATGAAACAATTTTCCAAAAAAAAATAGTAATGCAAAAGGTCCAACGTGGCCAACAAACACAACCTACCGGTCTCATTAGTTGGCACACAGAATCTCTACCTATCTCTCACTCCACACCTAATACAAAATAGAGAGAAGCCAGGGCATGATGGTTATAATGTGGCAATCCCCACCATTCCAGTAATGGAGTGGAGTGGGTCCAACCAAGTTCGTCATAATCCCATTATAGGCCCACCTTCACACTATTGATTGGATGAAGATTACTTTATATGAAGTGATGTTATCATGATTATGAACTGAGGTCGTATGCTATGCTCCTGTTGGAGTGTAGTATACCCAGTGTTCGTAAAATTGAACCAAAACGGTTAATCGGACATGGGTTTGGAAGCAGTTTCACCGGTCTAACCAGTAAATTGACTGATTCAATAAGTTCAACCAGACAAGTCCCGGGCGGTCAAAAAAGTGTTGGAAAAAAAAAAAATATAGAGCAAAAAAAATCTACTAAAATATGAAAAACATGCAAAGAATGATTAAAACAAAATACATTCAAAAGAAGTTGAAAAACAAAAACATGCAAAGAATGTTTTTATTTTTTTTTTGAAAAAGATGGGAAAAGATAAAAGTGAGTATTAATAACCAAAACAATTTTTAATCTTTACCAAAGTGTAAATAATATTAAAAAATAAATTACAAATCAAATTCCT